TTTCTCCAATTTGCTAGTGTTTCTTTTTTTATTCATTTGACATCAAAATTAGAAACAATATTAAAATGTTTAAAAAGCTACAAAAATTCTTAATCAAAACGGAAAAAAATGTTTGTACCCTATGATCATTGTACAAGTATGGACAATCAAACACAAGTTCGAATACAGTATTATTTACTTTGTCGACCTATTCTGTATTTCGCTTATTTATAGCCCAATACGGATATATATTAAATTGCTGTGGTAAAATTTAGGAATTTATTTCAAAATTAAGGATTATCTCCCTCATGCATAGCTCTGATCCTTCGACGTATTTGGCTCCAGTTTTTGGCACCTTTTTCAGCTCTTCAAAGTCTTTTTTATTTAAATATTTTGGATTTCCAATGTTTCGGCATGAGCATCACGGAAGAGACATAATTTGTCGAAATGCGCATCTGGTGCATCAAAATTGGTACCGTATATGATTTACACTAAAGCAAATAATTATGATTTAACCCAGGTAACTCATATCATATAATAATCTTCAGTGTTATATCCTTCGTTAAAATATACTTCCTTTCACCAGAAATCGATCTCAGAATGGGTATTATGTCGGTGATTCTTAAAAATTTGTTTTAACCGTAAATTCATTGCAACTTTATTAACTCTCATTGACTGTGATATGATAATAATGTCTTTAACATATTAGAGGCATAACCTACTTGTTTTTATTTGAATAGGAAATTGTTTAACTATTTTCATTGCAGCTTCAGAGTTGAGCCGGAAAATCCCCATCTCAGATTCGAACATGAATCTCCCGCTCACGCAAACGGCAAGAAGACAAAGCACTCTGCTTTAAATCAACCTTTCGTTTGCTCTCAATTTATTTCTGTCCCACGCCGCGACAAAAAAATAATCAAGTGTGAGGGTTGGTTTTAATCAAACTGAAATCAAAGCTGAACATCTTAAATTTAAACAAAAAATAAGGATGCTTTGGGTATAACCGGAGATCTCGTTACATGAGAACTCGATTTATATGCATTATTCCAAAACCTAATTAGTACTTGGATATAGTAGATATACATCATCTAAATTCATGAAACATAAAACTCTTTAAAAAAAAATATTCCGCCACCTCCACTGGAAGCATAAAAAGATTAAATGAAGGTATTAAGATTTGTTAATGAACAATAACTCACAATGTGTGGCATCTCTTACGGTCTATTCTCCTATGATTAAATGCACATCGAACAACAATAGATAGTTAATAATCTTGTAATTGATATCGAATATTCATGAATTATCTATAATGGAAATTACCAAAACTGTAATCTCCATCACGTGTTTCTTACTATATTATTTTGTTTTAAATCAATGGAATTGCAGCTAAAATTGAGAGTATTTTAAGAGTTCCTCATTCAGATATACATGTATAATAAATTGGGATTTTGTCTTGCACATGCGAACGTTGATATCCACAAATTTCAACGAATCTTGCAATTCATATTCAGTTGATTGAATTTATAGACTGCAGTAAATTGCCAAAAATATTAAATAGTCCCTGTCATTTTCGAAAAAAATACAGAAAATTTAACAATGGGTCAGAATTTTTATTTTATTCGAAGTTCAAGGAACAGTTTTATACAACTCAGGCGCGGATCCAGGAAATTTTTTCGGGGGGGGGGGGGGGGTTCCAACCCAGTCAAAAAAAATTTTCCTATCCAGAAATTTCTTGACAAGCAAAAAAAGAAAGAAATAACCTAAATTTCCTTCCTAAGCGTATTAAACCCAGAAAATTTCAAAAAAAAAAAAACAAACAAACAAACAAACAAACAAAAACGTAAATTCCATTACCCAATCGTGAAAAACCCTATTTCGTGGTGGTAATAGTGGGATCCACGTTTTCTAGGGGGGAGGGCAAAGTCATTTTTTATTTGCTTCAGTATATACAATATTTTTAATAACTCTGCAAATTCCAGCCCCCCCCCCCCGACCTCCCTCTAGATCCGCGCATGCAACTCATCCAATGGTCCTCCTCTTTTATACATGTACATTGTCAAATAGATACATTAAGTATGCCTCTTTTGAGATTACAGATTATTAATTAAATCATCAAAATTATCCCGTTCAAATTCCTTAACATCTTTAAGGTGAGCAGGCGGGGAAGTGGCACAATACAACTGACTAGGCTTACGAAAGAGGTATTAAAGTAAGGTTTTCGGAAATGCCTTTCATTGCTTCGAAAAATTAACAAGATAAATAATTATTGTATTGTGAGCACTGAGCTCACAAAATTGTATCCCCCGCTCCCTTATGAGTATATGGCAAAGTTTCTGTATATGTTCTATTGAATTTTATGTAGTGGTTTAGGAGGAGTTGCATTATTAAAATGGGCACCCCCTTTATCTAATATGATGGCAACTGTCCGATGAAATGTAAAAATAAGGGTGCACAATGGCACCGCGTAATAACAATATTGAGCTTAAGTCTCATTAAATTTTATTTGGTTGTATAGGAGTACCGGTACTAGTCGTGGACAAGAGATGGGTACCCCAAATTTTATAGAAATAAGCAGTGAACATGTTCTGCTATGGGAAATCCCAAATATGTGTCCAGTTGAAAGGTAAAATAAGAGATGGACAATACCATTGTGTAATATATACCTTTGTGGTATCTCTCTATTATATAAACATACAGAGAGCAAATATCTTCATACCTGTATGAAGTTTTTCGAAGGTCATAGGTCATTACGTGACCTAATCACACAGCGCAGTAATCTACATAAAAAGACTTACTCTACTTAGCAAATATAGCATGTTTATCATGCATAAAAATGTACAAAATACGCAAGTAAAATAATAATCATAAGATTTTATTTACAATGTAAACAAGTATTTAATACAGTTCTTGATCGACTTTACACAGAGAATGGAAAACTAACGGTTACATGTTATAAGTTTCATGTCTGAGCTGCACATTCTCAACGTTTACCCTTATTTTTCTTGTAGACCTCTGAATGCTATATAGCCTAATTTTTTCATTAAACTTTACTCACAATAAATTCTCAAATCTGTTGGAAAATATCAATGTAATGCAATCATGCCATAAACAGCTCACAAACACTGCACTTCGGAAGTTCCGTAGGCACACTTCCATCATCGAGATCGTTGTCCTGTCGCCAGTGTCTCCGTGTCAACATCATAATAAATATGCTTTACTGAAATCGTAGATTTTATGTTTCTGATAAAGTTTTATACTTGATTTCAAGTTTACTGGTCCGCACAAGTGTCTCCATCCATCCCTTTCCGACCAAAATTCCTCCAACTTTTTATTATCAAACATCGGAAGTGTTTCTTGTGTTTTTTTTAAACATCGAATATGGGTTCTCATGAATACAAAAATTCCCAGACACCAATATGCTCACTATAATTGATCACAAGTAGCCTTTCACAGAATATTCCCTTCAAAACAGAATCCTTTGCTAGATGAATTTGAAGCGTAACCGCTTTTCAAGCCGATTTACACCTTGCGTAATTTGTTAAAATCTACGACGAACAGTTAGTGCTATATCTATATTCGATTATATTTCGATTGTCCGTCTCAAATGTATATATAAGTAATAAATAACAAGTTTAAAAACTTCACTGGGAAATGAAGTGGGTCGGTACGTGATCAAATCTTCTGAGAAGGCCTTCACAGGATTTGATCACGTGACCGACCCACTTCATTTCCCAGAGAAGTTTTTAAACTTGTTATTTATTTCTTAAATAAAAAAAATTGTGAAAGTTTCATTAAATTGCATTCAGTGGTGTAAGAGGAATTATGGATAAGGAATAGCTACCCCCAAGTGTAGCGGAAGGACGGACAGTCCCATCACTACATACACTACCCCCACTCCACCCCTCACTTTTCAAGCGGGGTTATGTATTCATGAAGTATGGAGATAACGAACAAAACTCAAGCTCAAAGTCTATATAGACAATACAAATCGGGAGCAGAGGATACATGGACCTTCAAAAACATCAGAGGTTGGACCAGATGCCATGGAGGAGTGAGCATCCCCTGCCGACCAGTCACACCCGCCGTGTGCTCCATGTCAATGAGTATATGAATTTGCAACCTTTCGTTAAATCTTCAGCTCTTCTTCACACACATTTTGTTTGGTCATGAAAGATACATGATAACGTCGTTAAATAGTTACACATTCACATGTTCTTCCACTAACTATATTCTGATATATACCTGCATCTTGAACGGGTCATTTTTCGCAGCATTTGGCACACATAATTAAAATGAATGACATAACTCTCATTTGAAGCAAGAGGTAATATAATAAACATTTTTAACTTTCTGAACATATTTCCTTGTATAATAACTTTAAATAATAAATTACAAAAGCATATTTTGAAAGTTTTTTTTCTATTGATTATTTTGTAAAACGTTGATACCTAAACCATTTGCTCCATCCTTGATCTGATGGTTTGACTGAATAAACATGAATCACCTCTGCACAAATACTCTTGTAACTTTTTTCCTTGTGAAGTTTAAGATTTGTTTCCTATGTCATTGCTATATGTATATGTTAGAGTTTGAACTTCCTATTATGATCCCATCTATGTCACATAGAATCTACACACTACAAAAAGGAGCAGAAGCTTTCACTAAGTTTGTCATTTTTACCGATTCTGAAAAGAAGAGGGGGGGGGGGGTTGGAATGATGTTCTCTATTTATCTAACCGGTATTTTCTAATTATCAACCCCTTTGAGGAGGACACAAACATTCACCAAAATGAAATTAAATCTCTATCCAAATGTACTTTCTGTCAAGCTTGGTTAAAATCACTCCAGTGGTTCTTAAAAGGAGTCAAATTAATGAAAGTTAACAAACAGCTGAGGACTGACAAACTTTATTCACGAAAGCTCACTTTAATTTCAGCTCAGATGCAAAATAACTTCTGTATCAAATTCCATATTTATTAATATATCCTGATAAATATGACAAACATTATGATCTTATATTCTTTGATTAACTAACTCTACTTTGACAAAATCTTCTTAGCCATGGTGGCGGCATCGGTTTGGGGTACCCGTATAAGACCATTTTTCTGCTGGGATGAACTTTATAGTACCTAAAACGCAAAAAGAATGAAGTTGTTAAGTTTCAATGATGTAAAACACTAGTGGAAGTGTTTTAATGTACATCATTTTGTATAAAAGGGACTCTTAATACCATGTGGTCCGATATTTTCAATTTTTTGAAGATTTCGTGTATATAGTTCAGGTTGGTTTAAAAATGTTCTCAAGCCAAATGCCACATATAGATGAGTATATATCTAGAAATCACCTGCCTTACAAGTATACTGGCTAATAAAAATTTTATGAATACGCTTTATTAAAGAAAATACTTCGAATCCACACTCGTGCATTTTCCCGACAAATACATATAGATGAAACTTCCTGGAAACCAAACTTTTATGTTGTACCATAGCTGTTATTTCTTTATTTTTGATAAGGGTGTTAATCTAATGTCCAAGCAATCCTTCGAAGTCGCCAAACTGCATTTTGATTTATTTATTTTCCCCTTTACCCTTTGAGATCTTGAGTTTTGATTCCTTTATCAATTTTTAGAATCACCTTAACTTTGGTAAAGAAGGATTTTTCCTTTCCATCGACTGCAGTATTCACATATACATGTATGTATGTTCATAAATGATGAGCTTTGAAAAATGTGTATTTCGCAGAATGCATAGACATGGCAAGCACACAAAACACCGTTTTTTCTAAAATTCCTGGTATTAGTTATCTTTTACACTTACTTCTCATCTTTGAAGAAGTAGACATAACGATCTCTCCATTGGAGGGCCGCATCTATGTTGTCTGGAAGCCCCCGCCAGTGTCTGTATGTAGGCTTAGGTTTTGTTGTTCTGGTATCATCTGTTCTAGGGTTCCATTCCCAGTACGTGTGACTCTTATAAAGCATATAATCAGATATGTAAATCAGGGAGAGATTAAGAAAATATACCGAATTCAACTTATTCGAGCATCACAGCATATGATTGCTTCATAATCATTTAAGTTAAAGTCGATGCTTTATGATTCTTAATTATATTACTGCAGAACGAATGGGCCTTATTTATTCATTTAGAATTCCATATTATATATTCATGCAGGAATTGAACAAGATTTTATTGATTTAGGTTTAAAACATGTTACCCCAAATAGAAAGAGTCTGGTAGAATGCCACAGTGTAACTGAGACACTTGCACGGGGAGTTTCAAATACACTGTGCATTTTTACAGTCTTTGGAAATCCTGCAGCAATGCGGTGTTCGTGAAATTTCCAAACCTCCTTCCCTAGAAATTAAGCCGTAACAAAGTCAACTAAATCAGTGGTCTGTAGAAGATTCACTTCTAAACAATGTCAGAGAACTACATGTATATGAGGTGCTTAAAGTATTCCATCCCTAATAGGACCTGCTTTTCTCTCCTTAAATAAACATCAAGTATATAATACTGCAATATAATTTCAAAGCATTTTATAGAAAAAGAGAAACCAATTGAAGAGAAAATTTTTAAAAATGTAATTACCAAAGCAGTAAATATCAACTAAGATTGCATTGGGGTTTGGGGGACAACCAATTTTTTTTAAAAATAAAAATCAAAATACAAGAATATCAATAAATGTTTCGGTAGAAAGACGTATTTCATAATTAAGAATAGTATAATTATGATTGAAAACATATTTTGTTCCATATGAATTTTTTAAACATCAATTTTATTGAAAAAAAGAGGGGGATAACTCTTCAAGAACAGGTCACTCTTACTTGGTGATAGTAATAATAGGATTTATGTCTAACGCGCTTCATGAAATATGCCGGCGTGAAGCGTCGCAGTTCATGTCATCATGAATCTTCAAAAATTAAATTCATTTCTTAAATATACTGAGTATTCAACATTAATATATTCGTTATGTATTCAATTTCATTGAATATGAGGTTATTTGGGATTGAATACCTTAAATAAAAAAAACTCTGAAAATTACCCTTTTAGAAATAACATTAAACAAGTTCAACTGTATATAAAACTAAATTGAAAAATTAAAGATTACTTGTACATATTGGATCACAGACAGTGCCAATCACTTGAATTGAATAACAAATTGAAAATAGGCTTTTTAACACCATTGACACCAGCTGCTGCTTTTTCAATTAAAATGAAACTCGTAAATTTATTTACCTTGTCATTGGTCATTTGCAAAATTATCTTGTTAAAAAACATTCTGATTGTACACACAAGTACTCTGAAGTTGATATTAAAAAGGTGTTTGAGTTTCTAATTGGCAATATCTATGTGGTTTTTGGAGACCAGGTCTACCAACAATCTGTTGGAATTTCCATGCATATGGGTACCAATAGCGCCCCGTTATAAGCAGACCTATTTCTGTATTCATATCAAGCAGAATTTATTCAAAATACATGAGAACTAGAAAACACTTGCTTTGGCTTCAACTCGACATTTAGATATATCGATGATGCACTATCAATTAACAATAGTTATTTCCATTCATATGTCGACAAGATATATCCCAGTGAGCTTGGAATAAAAGATACCACAGAGTCTGACATACATGTATCTGTTTCATATTTTGATATTTTACTAGAAAAAGAGGTTAATGGTAACAAAAGCTTTATGATAAACTTGATGACTTTAACTTTTCAATCGTCAACTTCCCTTACTTATGTAGCAATATACCATTATCACCTGCATAGGGGGTTTATATCTCTCAGTTGATATGATACGCAAGAGCATGCTCTACGTATGAACAATTTCTAAAACGAGGTAAGTAATTGACAAGAAGATGATGAAACAATAATATCAACAGTCTCGTTTGAAGTCCATCATTTCGCAAGTTCTACGATCGATACAATGACCTTGTAAGCAAATACAATCTATCATTAAGTCAAATGCTGAATGGCGTTTTTCATACTAATTGATAGGCAATTATTTACACACTGAATTGTCTACGGATTTTTCCGTTGTTTCCCGAGCATGACAAAGAGCACACGGCGGGTGTGACCGGTCGGCAGGGAATGCTCACTCCTCCATGGCACCTATAATCCCATCTCTGATGTTTTAGAGGTCCGTGCTTGCTCTGCACCTGATTTGTATTCTTTAATTTGACTTTTGAGCTTGAATACTGTTCGTTTTCTCCATATAATTTAATTTTGGTTGTAACGCCTCATTTGATTGGATAGAAAATTAGTTCATATCGTATAACCCGTGCTGCCTTCGTCACAAACACTTACGTAAAAAACGTATCAATCCGCTTGACATTACATTTGAAATATGCACAATTTGAAGGCATTTTTGAAAGAGAAATTGTCTTATTCTCTACACCTCATGAAAGAAAACTAAATTATAAGGAATGAATTAAATAGCTATACTGGTATAACCTGGTATCGAACGGTTAACGCTTTTTTATAAAACGCTTTGTGGTTTATAAAGCGTAAATTGTCCCAACCCAGGTTATACAGTATAACTTGGGTAGCTATTAAATTCATTCCTTAAATATTTCATTCAGTGTCTCATAATGGAATGTAAGAAAAGGTACCTTTAAAGAAGTATTGCATCCCGGTTTCTTTGTAAAAACTAGCGGCATCAGCGTCACCGGGAACGCCATTATAGATGCTGGAGGTCCACGTAGTGGCTTTGATTTTCTTACCCGAAGAACTGACTTGGAAAGTTAAGTTTCCGGTAAAAATTTGAAGATCGTTACGTCCTTTTCCTACAAATATATTCCTTAATATAATTCTCCTTTGAAGGTGACAATATTCAAATACTGTTAACGTCTAATGTGTCCTGACAAGTTTATAAAACTTTATCAGAGATTGGCAGGAAATTCCCTACGTATTAGTCCCAATAGGACCTTACAAAAATTTGAATCCATTACACTACATGGGGATAATCAAAATGACCTTACTGCTCTGATTTTTTTTAAAAATCCTATATACATTTACTCTGTACATGAATTGTCCTATTTAAGCCTTACTTTGACAACAGGATTCGTAATTTGGTAAAAAAAAAAAAAAAGAATTCAAACAATTCGGGAATGTTTGCATATCAGTATGACTTTGTTTAACCCACCTACTCTAAATTTTATTATAATTCAAAAAACATAATTTTATTCCCATTTAAAAATCTGAAACTCTATTTGAACCACTGTCTATCCCAGAGGCCTTGATTTGAACAAATAAGAATATGTACTATATTTGGATGCTTGCATATTAACAAGAGGAATTGTTTCTCTGCTGCTTTTGAAAAGAGGACTTTTAACTTTTTCCTTCAATTAATTGATCTCTTATTGTGGCCTGGGCCATGAGTTGAATAAATTTGAATCTGCATTAAGTTGAAATTCTTGAAAATATGTCGTTTTTATTGTGGCCCTACTGTTCCTCAGGAGATTTTGTGTCAAAATTTGATCCGCTACTGTGGCCTTACCCTAACCCGAGGCATGATTCAAAACTTAAAGCTCAACACAATTTGTAAAAAAGCAGAGATTTGTGTTTGTCCGCCATATTACTCTGCATTATCTGCTAACTGTACGGTCCCTTTATAAGCCGTTCACTTGGTCACAGTTCAGTGTAATCTGTTGTCACCGGTGTGGACTACATAGCTTTTGTAAAACTCTAGGTAGCGACAAAAGTAACTGTGCTTCTTCCACGACAGAAGAGAAAGTTACCAAGGAAATATAACCTCAGTTGCACAGGCCAGTGCAGTACAAACGAACACAAATACATGTAAAATGCAATAAAATGTAAACAAAGGTAAACTAAGGGCCGGTACACACGGTAATGCAAGCTTGCCTTATAAGTCATGGAACTTACGTTTACCTTACTGTGTGTACACGTTTAATACACGTTTTTTCGAACCTTATAAGTCTGACTTACGAATAGAGCACTGCTCTATTTCTTAATACAAGACTTAGCTGACATTTTCTTCTCAACCAATGAAAACCATTCACCTAAATGTCAATCTATTTTAATCAAACCATAAACGTGGGTAGATTAAAGTGAATACAAAGTACTCTCGAACAAGACAGTGAAAGTGTCCACAACAGCTTCTTTTAAACCCCCTCCTCTTTTTAGGAAGTGTAAATGCACTTGTCGGTAAAATTATTACAAAACCCTAATAATCTATTCTATTTTAATGAATGAATGCTCTGTTTATGGCTGAAAAACACGTGGAATTTATAAAAATGTTGTTTATAATCTTGTAAGTCTTGCCTTAGCGTGTGGACATGAGGTCCGTACGGTATGCAAAACGTAAGGTTTTAGACTTACTATGTAAGCCTTACCGTGTGTACCGGCCCTAAGATAGCCAAGAACACGTCTCGTACATTCCACGCAAGTACCCGTGACAAGAAAGCAGTCAGGTGTAACGAGTGCGAAGGTTATACCCCAGTGCTGATACCGCAGATAGCAAAACTAATATGGCGCATGCTTATTTACGAGTCGTTTTCAGCTTTAAATCTGTAAACCTGAGAATGCCCCCATAAAAATATGACTCATGAAGGCCCAATTGTTTTTGAAAGGATTATTTCTACTGATTTTTCCTATATATTCCCAAGTATAAATGTGATTCTCTGTTATGACCCCCCCCCCCCCCGCCCCCAGGAATGTTTAACATACATACTTTTTGTGCTTTCTGTCTCAGTGGTTTTTAAAGTTACATGTATCAGACAACAAACCTGGGCAACAGACAGACGACTCACAAATAATTTACTTATAACGCTAACATTAACCTCCTTCAGTTTAGAATAACTGGTAATTTACAGTACTTCTGCAGTTATAAATAAGTGATAATATCACTTGCATCACGATATTCTTACGATTCGGGACAGTGGTAAGATCACGAATCCCCTTGCAAGAATCTATTGCATTGTCTACTTCCTCTTTAGAAGGTGGTGAGGTAGATACAAATGTTTCTTTAAGCTTTCGTTCTTCTGGTGCTGGTCTTCTACGATCTAAGATTAAAACAAAGCTGTTATATTTTTTATAAAGATTCCAGATCCTGTACAGTTTATTGTATTCATCGAAGAAATAAGCTTATGACGAACTCGATATGAACAAAGGTGTACGAGGGTTCGGAAAGTTCGTGGACTTCTGTCATATCTTTTTTATTTAACGTCATATTATACCCAAATTTGGTAGAAACATTTTAACAATAAATTAAAATGATTTGTATTGAAAAAATTAAAATTTCTTGATTTATTTCAAACTTATTAGAAGTTAAAAACTGCAAAAATTGGTTCGCGGAGCAAGTCAAAATTCAGCAATTGACAAACATTACCCTAATTAATTTCTGTAGTCATATCCTCTGTAAAATGGCTGAAAACCAAAATAAATCTGGACCATCAAATTAAGAATTGTTACATCGTTTAATATTCCAAATTATGACTGAATAGTTTGCTTCATGGAAAAGAAATCAATTTCTGAAAATAGGTAGTTCTCATTGAAAAAGGCGAAAAAGGTGACGTCGTAGAACGTCACGGAGCAGCAGTTTATGATATAATTTTCTGTTGCACTCTGGAAAAAGTCAGAATAAAATCTGAAAAGGTTGTAAGAAACATGGAATATCTCAAAAGCGGATCATGCATATGTTGTGTAAATGGCCCAGGAGGTATTTGAATGATAGAGACTCTATCAGACGAGGACGATCTGTGAGAAAACGGATTATCTGTAAAGAATCGACCCAAAAACGTTCAGTTAGTAATGTCTTGGAAAGAGAAAGGCGTTTCACGGTTGCTGGTCTTGTGAAAGCATAGTTAAGCGGTGAAAAAAGAAAACATTGACCATCAAAATTATGCTACTGGAACAATTGTTAACAAAATGAATTTCAATTGATAGAGACACGTTTTAAATGAGCAGATATTGGACCAGACTGTGTGAAATGTATAGGGGGAATATTCTGAGAATCTCATGACGCTATATTTTTGACGTTATAATATTATTTGGTTTGCTCCGGGGTAGCCAAACATGTTGATTTTAAAATAAAGTAAATTGATTTCTATTAAATCGAATGGAATGAAACTTCACACATCAACAAAATAAATATTTTTACATATGATAATGTTCTTGTATTAAATTTCTTGAAAGTAGTATAACGAGGATTGACTTTGTCCACGAACTTTTCGAACAACCCTCGTAAGTTATAGTTTCAAATTTTATAAAGTTAACTTTTTAACGTTTAATATTTTCATTTTGTATGACAGAATTTAAAAAATGGCACTGATCCTGCTGTCAAACTTCTATTCCAGATACTTACCACTCTTCTGTTAAGATATTTTAATATGTAGTTATTATTTTGACATGACACAATAGCAATTCCTTCTATGGTGGCATTTTTCTGCCCCCTACATGCAAGATAAATTATGTCATCATATAAGAAAAGTTTGCCAACATGCAAGATAATCATGTCTACATACAAGAAAATTATGTAGTCATGCAAGTTACAAATCTTCTTAGAGAATCTTATTTTAATGTGGGTAAATTTTCTTTCTAACGCCAGTATACATGTACATGCAAGATGCAACATAATTATGTTGACACGCGATTTATTTATATCAAGATGCGAGTTATGTTAGCATGCAACTTATTTATGTCAACGTGCGACTTACTTAAGTCAACATGCAAGTTAATTATGTTTATATGCAAAATATTTATATCAGCATGTTAGATAATTATGTTGATATGCGACTTATTTTTGTCACCATGCAAGATAATCATGTTGACATGCGACTTATTTATGTCAACATACAAATTTAGAGTTGATATGAAAATCAATCTTGGCATAAATAGATTGCCTGTTAAAATGATTATATATCGCATGTGTACATAAAAAGGTCGCATATCAACATAATTATCTTGCATGTTGACATAATCATCTCCTATGACATATCTAGGTCGCATGTTGACATAAATAAGTCGCATTTTGATATAATTAAGTCGTATATTGACCTAAATAAACCGCATGTCAACATAATTATCTTGCCCATTGATATAAATATTTTGCTCGTTAACAAAATTATCTTGCATGTTGACAAAAATATCTTCGTTTGTATGTTAACATATAATTATCTCGTATATTGGCATAAATAAGTCGCATGTCAACATAATAACCATGCACGTTGACAGAAATATCTTGCAAGTTAACATGATTATCTCGCATGTTGACATAATTATGTTGTATGTTAACATAATTATCTCGCATGTTGACATAAATATCTTCCATGTCATTATAATTATCTCTCATGTCAACATAAAGAACTTGAATGTCAACATAAATAAGTTGCATGCTAACATAATTTTGTTGCATCTATGATGTCAGATTCTGGCGTTAGGAAGTAAATTTACACACATTAAAATAAGATTCTTTTTAAAGATTTGTAACTTGCATGGCAACATAATCATCTTGTATGTGGACATAATTATCTTGCATGTTGACATAATTTATCTTGCATGTAGGGGACAGAAAATATGTCACCATAGCCCTCGATCTCGATGTAAAGTTTGACATTTGAGCCTTTTTTTGCCATCTGCATTGTTATGGCAAGTGTCTCTTTGCATCTAAATTTGATTATTTGGGGGGAGGGGGGGGGCAATATTGATAAATTGTTATAGGCAATGTGTACTGTTGTAGATATTCAAACACCAACCAAAAACATAGATATTCACCTAAAAATCCAGTGGATCATCTGCAGCAATTTAGAAGGAGTATATTTAGTAAAAACAATAACGTTGCACATAGATATTGTGTTCAGCAGAGGAACTACATTTACCGTAAAGTTCCCGTAACTGAGCAATATCATCAGATGTTAGTTTCATTTTCAAAGATGTAAAATATGGCGCCATAACCGCTTTCTGAGGAGAAATATGTTCGAGCCCAAGTGCATGTCCAATTTCATGAAGTGCCACTGTGGGTAAATGAATCTGGTCAAATGAAAAGTTACCACTTTTTAACGTCCATCGTTCGTCGTCATCAAAATGAGTTCCACCATTAGCAGGTTTGAAGGCGTGTCCTAAAAGCTTTCCTAAATTAATGTAGATCAAACAGATATACATGTACAATGTAGTTTGTGATATAAGGAAAATGATAAATGTTATTTGAAGAATATTGCATGTAAACCTGAAATAATGCGTAAATAAAAAAAATGTCTTTAATGAAACTAGAATGTATTGTCCATGAAGTAGTAATTAATTTGATAAAGTACGTATCCAGATGAACTTCAAATCCTTACAGACTTATCTTTAAACCTTTTAGTTATCATATAACAAGGATTTGTAAGCAATGACACCTTTCTTTTATTTAGGAATATAGTGATTTACCTCGACCATCAAATGCATTGTAATCACCATCACCATGTTCCAGTCTAGCAAATAAAATTTTTATATCTGGTTTTCGGTGGGAATATTTGAATCTTAGATAGGAATGTCTTGCCCATATTCTGAATGCCTTTTGGAATGTTCTCCTACAAGAAAGATTATTAAGTTTTTAGTACGTAGAGAACAATTTTAATGCTTGATTTAAAAAAGGGCTATCAGAAAAAAAGTAAATGTATATTTTAATTTACTGATAAAGGACCTCATTGAAGAAAAAGTAGTCGAAGGTTTGTAGAAAAAATGATTTGGGGAGGGGGGCTGTTATAAGGGAGTCCTTGAATATAAATGTTCAACTTAATCTTTCAAAGTGTCACAATTTGTGTCCTTTTTCAATGCTGGAGATTTATTTCGATGTAATTGACCAATGCATACAGAAAGACACCCTTCTTCGCAAATTAAGGCTTTTTCATTGGCATTTTTAAAGGCAAAGATTATCTTATTAATGTTTTGGCTTGGAACAGAATTGCCCTAAGAAAAAAATAATAACTTAACCTATAATTAAATAACTCCCCCTGTTGTCTCATATTATCATTGGTGGAGTGAATAAAAAGAGGATAGTTCAGTTGACGAGTCTGCTTGCAAAATTACGAGAGAAACATTTTTTATACCCTGGTTCGAATCTCGATGGAACTTTTTCCCTATATTTTTACAATTTATCATAAATATTCTCTGTATTTAAAATCCTGCAGATTGTATTAATTAGTCACACTGTAAACTTGAATTGGCCTTAAACTACATTTTGATTAGAAAAAAGACAAAATAAACAAATAATATGGAAAATAACAAGGGGAGAAGCATTAACCATTTTAAACAAAAAAGAAGACAGACTCTATCGAATCTTACTATAGCTATTTCAAACGTATGATCTTGCAATTGCATTTCATGACAATTCTTATTCGATGCGCAATGATCTGAATATGATAATTTTTTGAACCGATGCAAGCTACTGACGAATAAGTTTATGTAACAAGAATTTCAACAACCCCGTTTATTTAAAGTCATCTTTTCGCAAATTCTACTTCGTTATAATGAACTTGTTTGAAAATACAACCTATTCTTGGGTGGTATTTCGTCTAACATGTTTCATACCATGTGTTAGGTCATTGCCTTTATACTAAATTTGACTACAGAGTACTCCTTCTACCTGATCAATACATAGGGCTCACGGTAGATGTGAACGGTTAATAGGAAATGCTAACTCCTCCTAAGCACATGTTCCTACCTCTGGTGTTTCCAAGGGTCCGAGGTTTTTTTTTGTTTTTTTTTTTTTTTTTTTTTGTTTTGTTTTGTTTTTTGTTTTGCCTTGTTCACGATTCTTTTTGTTTACTGGATTTATGAGTTTGATCACTTTATAGCTGTTCCGTTATTTTCACCTTTTACATTACAATCGCACTAACTGTGCTAAGTGGCATATAGATGTATGTTTTAAAAGTATTCAATGAGAAAGTAAGAATTATACTCTTTAATTAAATAAATACAGAGATTTCTATGGATATAAGGCAATCAAAGTAACTTACCACTGAAAAAGAGGTCTGATTTGTGTCGAGTATCTAACAACACCCCAGGTCAGGTTGTCCTTGTGCCATTTCAGAACTTAATTGAATAAAATTATGTAAATGAAAATGTCAAATTTCGAAGTTACGTGGAAAACTGAATCAATATCATATACTTAGTTGTAAAACTTTAAACATGCAATAAGGAATGAATGACACTCTGCTGAGCGAGATAAATCTAACATTGTATGTCTTAATTGAAGCAAATGTATTTTTGTACTGCCATCATTTATGTACGGTAACCATACTACATATCTTTATTGTTCAGTATGTTAACTATTCACATGTTGATTTCTTCGTTTTAAATTTCACCATACTAACATACATTGTTTCTCGATCAAGCTGAGAGCTTTAATGAAATGAAAATTTCTATCGTTTCCTTCAATAAAATTGTTATCTTCTACAATATTTTTCCATATGCTACAATTCTCTTACATTTTAATTCATCTACAGAAATATCTATTTCAGTGACCAGAAAACTGTTCTTTCCTAATTAAATTTCTTTTTATTGAATCTTCTGCACCATTTGCAATATATTTGTTTTGACATATTATATATAAATTAAAACTCTTCCCCCATGTCAAAGACATTCAATTTCTTTCATAATTTCTTCAGTTACTTTCTACAACAAATAATTGATTTTGTTTGTTTGTTTGTTTTGTTCCAGACCATTTAAATCTCATTATTTCATAACCTTTAGAGCTCCGCCGATGTCTCTGATTTTTATGGTATACTTCCGTATTTCCACACTGACGAAAAGAAATGTTGTTCGTGAAAGAGGCACCACGGCTACCTGAACTAAAATGGAAAAGGTATTAAAACCATTAATTTTCTTTTCAAGAAGAGACATCTTTTAGATACATCTGTATATTTAAGACAAGCTCCATTGACCCACAGGAGTTTGCAAACCTATCAATTTTATCGAAATTTTCAATAAATATTTTTAAAAAAATACATAATACCTAGTTACTATTATAGTATTACGTATATTTTATATTTACTGAAAATTTCGGTAGCTATGCCAACTCCTTTGATTGACCGAAGAAAAAAAAAAAACGATAATAAGACGTTTTTTTATTAGACTTCACTGCTGAAGGATAAATCAATCGGGTATAAGTAGCCACATTTTTCTCAAGCACGATCAGATTGCTTTTTGAAAATTGTCTTTGTCCTTTTAGATAACTTGAGAAATGCTTATGGTAGAGGAGAATCATATCTTTGGTTGAGTGAAGAAGTGGTTTAATTGTTACTTTACTTTCTTACTCTGATCTAGGTGATTCTAGTTTCATACTATACTGAATACATTATTTTTAAAATTACGAAAGAAGAATATAATTTAGAAAAATATTATTTTCTATTTTGAAGGTTTAAAAATAAATTTAATAATTTCCAAGAGGCAAACATGTACCTTCAAATCCTGGAAGGAAATCATAATATTTTACAAACATACAAACAACTATAACCTGTTAAGTTGTACTGGCTGCGTGTATGTCTGTATGTTTATGCAGTTTTGAAGTACCTTGTATTGTTTTGAATTGCATTTTATATATATATATATATATATATATATATATATATATATATATATATATATATATATATATATATATATATATAAATGGTTATTAATTGATACACATGTGAGTGCTTATAGGTTGCTCAGATTCTGCTGATTCTATAAACACAAATTTCTTTTCTTTATTTAGGTCACTGGAGCAGTAGAAACAATGTCACACCATTGCATATTTGCATAATTCTTTCAAGTTATATACATACAACCTTGTATTACAAATTTTTATGGCTCATAAAGCTAATATGCAATTTTTAATCATGAGGTACCCGCAGCGAGAGCAATTATAGCTAACTAAATGAAAAAGATTGGATCTCTTTAACAGTCTTAATCTCCCTGCTTGGATCTCGATACTTGAGCAAAGCAGTAGCAGTCAAAGAATTGAGACAAATGTACAGGAAATGACGAAGCTTAGAATTCCTTTGATATCAATATGTCCTGATTCCAGTTATTATATCGACCCCTCTCTGGGGTCAAAACAGTTACCATTATCTTTAGGATAAGAATGAGCATAACATATTTTCGAGGTTTATTTTAGAAAAGTTCTTTTTTAACTTTATCTCGGAAAATACCACAGAAGTCAAGAAGTAGACCACCTTAGTATTGTCCTTCCCCACAGATTTTACTTTTTTTCACATAAACCTACATGACTTTTGAAGTATTAGAAGCTAGTAACACATAATGAAACTGCATCCATTGATTAAAACTACAATAACTGGCATTTTGAAGAGGTGATTTTGACTTACTTGTATATTCTCTGATAATATTTGTAAAAGAAAAATTTTTGGAATGAAGACAGAATTTATTCTGGTGTCAACAGTGCATTTGTTTTTAATATTTTTATCAGATGAAAGATAAAGAATATCAAATAAAAGAATTAAAGTTTACCGAAATTAATAGCATCAGAACGTATGACTTTTCAGCACTTTTTACAACCATTATCCACGAAAATTTAAAGACCAGGCTTTTTGACATCATAGACAACTGCTTTTTAGTAAGAAAAAGCAGAATTTAGGAAGCAATTTCAGTTGGAAGGGGGGGGGGGCACACCGATACATTTTAAGTTGAGGAAGCACTACCAACTACCAAAACTTCCTTGACAAACAAAAAAAGGGGTTCATCAGAGGTTTTTATTGAGGGGGCACAAGCATATAGTATCTCTGTTTTCTACAGTACTCTATATATCGGCAAAATTATTGGGGGAGGGGAACGCCCCCCCCCCCCGTGCCCCCCCCCCCGGTTCCTACGGCCATGAATAAGATATCGTGAGAAAAATATAAATTAAATAAATGAATGAATTAAAATCCAGTTTGGCACCGTCCACAAGCCTTAAAATACATAGAATCAAAAGAATTCAAGCATCCTCAAGAATAAAGATTTTCATTGATAAATAGAAAATATGTCAAAAACGACCAATTCGCAGTTTATAAAAAAATTCGAGTATCAATAAAATTTTCAAACAGATTTCATCCAAAATGTATGCCTGGACCTAAAGGAAGTTTCGTCTGTTCGTCTATTGAAGGTTGAAGTCATGTGTGGCCATTCCCAAGAATAAATTGTTCACGACTTATTTGTTTTCCATTTGCATGTATAATACTAGTCATTAACTGCATGTCTAAATTAAACTTCACGAGTTATTTAAAATTAAACGTATGGAACATGTTTTTATGCCCCATTAATCGAAGATACGGGTGCATATAGCTTTTGTTTTGTCCGTCCGTCCGTCTGTCTGTCTATCTGTCTGTTTGTCCGCAAAACCTTTAACCTTCCCCGTAACTTTTGACTTTTGTTGGAGCAAGGGCTTTCATATTTCACAGGTGTATTCCTTGTGACAAGATCTTTCTTTGGGTAGCACGAAATTTGCCATCTTTACTTTGGAGTTTTGACTTGAGAAACTTTACCTTGGCAATAAGCTATGATATGGGGACATCAGTGTTTCACAAACACATCTTGTTTTTTATTTATTCATTAATTACTCAATAGCACAAAATGATAATTCAAACTGCAAGAATAAAATTTGCACCCTTTTACACTTATTAAAAAAAATACGCAGTTGCTTCTGTACATTTATTCATTTAATTCACCCCAATATGAAAGATATATGTAAAATATTGCGTAGGATAGAAATTGACATAATGGTTACCAATTTTTTCGACTTTACTTTCTATTGATATGTATCATAGTGTATCTAATTTTCGTGTCGTTATTGTTCAGTTTACTTTTTCCTAGTCAAGAGCAGATTAATTAAGGAATAATTTGTTTATACTCACTTTCTTGAGTTTCTCTCCATGGCAATGTTATTGGCATCAACAATCTGCAAGTGAAATGTGGGGAAAATTAATTAGAACTTTACAAATATTTCTCGTTATTATTTTTTAAAATTAAAATAGTAGGAGTCGTTCATCTTTATGAGCCGCGTCGTACTTTCCTAGAAGGAAGGAAAAATTATATAATCCTTTTACTAAGGGTTTCGAAATCTCGAGACAGTTCAGCTTTGAAATAATGATGTAACACTTAAATTTCATTGATACCTTTTTATCAGGATATGCAACTCCCCCACAAATAAAATAAAAACCACAGTAAATTAAAAGTACAGATCGAAAACTTGCTTCCATGATATGCAAAAGGTGTAAGCTTTTCTTCGGCACGGAGTATGTAATGTTTCGAATATGATCGCATAATGATTTGATGAGGAGACTGCCTTCTCTTCCTATATCCTCTAAGTAATCTCCGGTATACGGTATAACAGTGCTGTTCTCCATTTAAAAAACCGCAAATATTATTTGTAGTATCGATAACAACTGTAGAAGAAAAAGATTTTCGAATATTTTATGTATGTATAGCAAGAAATCTTAATTTGAATCAGTTTATCTTTGAATTATTTCTGTTGATAAATAATACATATCATTTACCTTTTTAAGTGAAATGGGTCATAGAAATTCGAGATTGTAATAATTCTGCAAATATTACATGAGAACTAACTCTTTAACCTGCACTTTTACAAGCAGTTTTCCATTCCATGGTATGTAGCGTCGGTGCTCTCAAGTCCGCTGAACGTGGCATAGCGTTCAGTCCATAAATATTGCTCGAGTTGCAATATTTATTTCAGTTCTGAATAGAAAACCCTTTTCAAGCTTAATATATACAGTTAAAGTATATCAATGAGGGAGTCAGCAAGATTCCAGTTCCCTAAGAGCAAGTCTATTTCACTCATATATAGTGAAAAATCAGTAGAATTTAATAAATTATACTAACTCAAGATTGTTGTCGAGTTAATACGTCCAACAGCAGAATATCACGACAGAGAATACGGCGTATTGATTGTATGGCTGATCAAACAAATTTTTGATCACGAAAACATTCCAATACAATTAAATATGACAGACTATTAATTATGAGATTAACATGATTAAGAGTGGCTGATTTGGGAAGCCCCCCCCCCCCCCCCCGCCTGAAAATTTGATTAGAATATTGCTCTTTTGGATTTTTATAAGGACATTGTACCTCAAGTTGACCGTTATTGCATTACTGACAAACCACCAAATTTAAAAACTGTATTTTTCTTTTGAGCTTTCAGAATTAAATTTATCCTGTTTTGAATTCTGTTTTAGTGTGTCAGAAACATGGTGACAGAAGAAAAGGGGAGGGGATGCAGTAGCGGATTCAGGAATCTTGAAAACGGGGGGGGGGGGGGGGGAGGGGCACAACCACACCAAAAAAATTGATTTATTAAATCTTGTGTATATTTTGGACACAAAAGGGGGCGGGACCCTGCCCCCCTGTAAATCCGCCAGTGGGATGTTCTTTTTGTCTACTAGTCAAGGTCTTGGGACAGAATATTCCCATGCTCCTGACTTTCCTTCGACACATGGTCTGCTCTTCGAAATGGTTGCGGGAGATAACTCTAACTTGGCATGTGACATTCATTCGGGGAATTTCCATTGACTTTCGATTTGAAATGTTGTCCTATCAGGGATGTTTTTGTCAGTTTCATCACTAATAAGGACCATTACATGATTAAAAAGATTTTTAAAAAGATAGAAAAAAAATATGTGAAAACCAGTCTAATCTGGTTCAATATTAACCGTGTCTGGAAGATAAAAATTTTCGAATTAGATTTATATTAAGAACAAAAATTCCAACAGGAAATTTTCACAATCGGAAACAAGGTGAGAAAGCATTATAGTAATAATGCATGAGCAAGAATGAGATGTTCATGTCTAAGGATATGTAAAAGGTTAGTATACTTCAGTATTTATTGATCATTTCTTACAAACATTCCATAGTGGGGCATATACTTCATAATCTAGAGGGGGAAAACGTCTAAAATTTTTATATGCTTAATTTAGAATTGTTACTTATGCCAATTATCTGGCCATCTTCGACCTATTTTAATTTCCGTAGGTTTGGTAACATTTCGCTGTTTCAATCGTATTATCAATTTTCCTTTCTTTTGTTGTTATAGTGTCCATTCGCTTAATTTACCAAGCATACACTAACATCAGGAAAGAGGACACAAACAATGGGAAATACTTCATCAGAATCTCAACTGACCTGCCACACAGGTTCCAATAAAACACTAACAGTAGATTACCTTCAAAATGAAAATGCGAAGAACCCAGTCGATGTAGTTCTATGTTTTGTTGATACAAAGTGGAGTTCTGACGATCAGTTAAACCAGGCCGTGTCATCTTTAGCGGGAAATATCTACGTCACTGAACGAGAGAGGTTAAAAGCACAGTATCCTGTGTGTTCTCCAGGAAATGTTTTCTGCTGCAAAGGTGGCAAACTAAATTGTAAGGCAATCTTACAGGTGGTTGTACCGGATGGGGACCTAAGTCAGCATCTTTTGTTGGTTCCAAGTATTCTACAGAATGCCATACAGAAAGCTTCTGAGCTTGGTGCTCGTAGTATTGCCATTCCTCTGGGAATTGGTAAGTTTTCAAGATAGAGATACCGGACATTTTGAATATCTCAAAATTCTTTTTTTTCTATAAAACAACATTTTTTCGTAAACATTTTTGTGTGTTGCAACGTTTGGGAAATAATTTCAACGTAAATTGGTCTGTTTTTTAGAGCCCCCATTTCAAGTGAACATCCTTCTGCCTTCTCTTTATATGACCTATCTGAATCACGACAGGGCATCTTCCCTAACTCAGTTCCATATTATAACCACAAACTCGGCATTACAATCACAAATTCTGCAGTCTATTGAAGAGATGAATGAAAACATAAGTACGGGTAATTCAGATGATGATGAACCTCAGACAGTGGCTGAAAATTCTGCAGCCGATCATGATAAACATTCCCAATCTCTGTATAATAATGAAGTACTCACTCAAGGACAACAGGTTCATCCGCTCCCTCGAAAACAGGCAAGTGATATGTTTCACGATACAGTACACGAAAACTTTTCGGACCAAACACTCACAAATAATACAGCTGAAACACCTGGTGAAGTGTCAGACCAACACTTCCAAGAGAAAAGTGAAGACCCAGAGCACAGTGGCACTTCAGTGCAGTCTTCCTACATGTTTCCGGTGGAGCAACTTCACAAACATGTTGAAAAGATTTCAAATAATGATTTTCTAAAATCAGTGAATTTTAGGACGTCTGATGATTTGAACACCCGTGTGACATTCAGTGATGAAGTAGAAGAGTGCATAGATCCAAAGCAGCCTCCGCTGGTCCGATCCCTCTCCAGCGGTAGTGATGATCTAAGTAGTTTGGACTTCCAGAACTTTTGCGTGAAGCGGCCGGTAACCCGATTTCAGGGTAAGCGCCCAGTACAGAGGGGAGAGCCTGTGGTTGTCGTTAAGTACGATGAGGAAGAATCTGCAAAAAAAGCAGACCCTGTCTTCTTCTGTGTTGTATGTCAAAGTGAACATAAGGTCGATTGCCAGAAGAAGCTGGATAAATGTGGACATATATTTTGCAGTGAATGTATCGATGATTATTTTTCGAGAGAGAAACCTGTTTGTCCTATATGTAACACGGTTTATGGAGAAGTAAAAGGAAACATGCCACCGGGCATTATGTCATACTTTACTTCAAAGGGACATCTCCCAGGACACGAAGATGTGGAGGCCATTGTTATTGAATATGATATTCCAGATGGAGTACAAACGGTGAGTTTACTATAGCATTTATTCTTCTTCGATGTTCAAACATCCATGGATTCCAGTCCTTGATAAATCATGTATTAAATATAACTAATATTTCAAAAGAACAACAAAACAATCTTCATTTCATGTAACAGTGTACATGTCTATGTTAGGAAGAACATCCAAATCCGGGTAAGTCATTCAAAGGAGCATGCCGAACAGCCTATCTGCCAAACACAGAACAGGGACAGAAGTGTCTGCGATTACTACAGAGGGCGTTTGATCAGAAACTGACATTTACAGTGGGACGATCCAGAACTACCGGAAATGAGAACTGTGTGACGTGGAACGATATCCACCACAAAACAAACGTTCAAGGTGGACCACAAAGGTAAAATTTCAGGTCACTTTAAACTGGCTTTGTCCATCAGTGTGACGTGGAACGATATCCCACGACCAGGAACACGTTAAGTTCCTTGACAGTACCGTTGTCAGAAACCTTTAAAGTTAAGCACTAAAACTGGTTCGTTGTCATGAACATACAGGTAAGGTTATGATAAAATCCGTCCGGTGTCATGCAAAATATACAAGAATTTATACATGATGCCTAAATTTTAACGTTTTTGACAAATTCCAAGAATAAATTTGTATTTTGGGAAATAGATACAACATTCAGTATTCCATACAAAGATTTATGTATTTGATATCCACAATACATTTTGATGAGTTTTGGTTAGCGATCACATGCCCATGTGTGAAGCCATGATTATGAGCCGGAAATTTATATATTTCTTATAAATAATTCATCGAAATGGTATCTTTATTTTAAAATATGAAGAGAAACTTCAATTTCAATGTATTAGGCAACTGACAGCCTTTTGTAGCTTACAAGTTTTAAGAAATCGCAGTTTATAAGCAAAAAGTCCGTTGTCAGTACATGTTAAGTTTATCTGGTCCGGTGTCATTTTTCTTAACATGTAAGTAAATCAATAAAATGCAACAGAAATGATCAAAAATATGCTTAATTTAAAAGAATACAAAGCATACTACAAATACATGTATATTTGAATCTCGGGGTCGTCTTAAAGCAGCTCACACGAACGTGCTAACTATTCTGCGATGTTTTTATTTTCAATTCATCTAGCTAGAACCTGCGTCCTAGCTAGTATGCAAACATATACAATTCCTTGTATATCATCAGTATAACAAAATTAAAATGTTATGCTTAGGTCACATTTAAACCGATGGTCGGGCGACCAAATTATTTTCGTATCGTCGGCTGAAAAAAACATGATCGGCCGACACTAGTATCGGGCGACGCAGAGTAGTCATATTAATTCCTAGGAACACCAATACTTTTAAAAGTAAAAATACTTATAAGTTGGCCAACCGTCACCCGATCATCGTTCGCTAGGCCGCAGTTTGATTTTCATCTTCGGTCGACAGTTGTATGAAAACCCAATTCCTAAATGTCGACCGACTTTAAAAACTATATGCCGATGGTCGGCCGATGATCGAAGGTTGGTGGACGGACTATTCAATGAGTGCTTCAATTGAATCGGCCACAGACGAAAAAAATAACTTTACCCGACTGACATGCATAAAATTGGTCGGCCGACGAAAAAAAGAGATAAAAATCGGGCAAGACAACGGCCTATAATATGAAACTTATGTGGAAGCATCCTCAGGTAATGTAGATTCAAGTTTGTTCAAATCATTACCCCCGGGGGTAGGATGGGGCCACAGTGGGCTATCAAAAATTTACATAGGATAACATAGGAAAAATCTTTTAAAATCTTCTCGAGAACAGCAAAGCCATGATTGGTCATATTTATATGGAAGCATCCTCAGGTAGTGTAGATTCAAGTTTATTGAAATCATTAAGAAATCTTATTCTCAAGAACAACAAAAACTTGATTGGTCATAATAAAATAAAAGCATCCTCAGGTAATGTAGATTCAAATTTGTTCAAATCATGACCCAACAGTGGGGCCAAACAGGGGATCATAGTTAAACAAAGGATTATAAAGGATATATCAATAAAAAATTTCTTTTTTAGAAAACAAAGCCATTATTAGTCATATTAGTTCAAAAGCATCTTTAGGTGGTGTAGATTCAAGTTTGTTCAAATCATACCCCCCCCCCCCCTCCACTTTAATATTTAAACTTTTGAATACCTAATTCAAAATTCTGCTATTTCCGAACCAAAGTGCTTAGGTGAGAGATGTGGCCCATAGGCCTCTTGTTTTTGGTGGATTTGTGAATGTAATTGGTTTGTAAATCACATTGACATATGCTATTTCATGCAGCGTGATTGTGACGGTACATTTTGTCGTCCTGTTCATATTGTCGCCGGCGACAATGTGTACAAACACTCACTGAGCATATTGCCGTCCATCAGTACATATCGATTGACAATGCATGGCAATGTTTCCATATAGATATGACTAATCATTGCTTTGCTATTGTTGAGAAGAAAAAGTTTAAAGAATTTTTCTATATATTCCTGTGTAAAACTTTGATCGCCCTTTGTGGCCCCAACCTAGGCCCGCGGGTCATGATTAAAAGAAACTCGAATCTACACTACCTGAGGATGCTTCCATATAAACATCACTAATCACGGGCCTACTGCTGTTCTCAATATTTGATCCAAAAATTTCAGAACGCAGAAGGGGGGGGGGGGTGCGGTTCAGATTTTTTTTTTTTTGACAAACAAAAAAAAAAAACACTTTTGTGTGTGAAGGAGTGTTACTGTATAAGTTAAATATATTATTTTATCATGAAATTTTACCTGTGTAAAAAATTGAGAGTATATACAGGTTAAAAAAACAGAATTTACAAAGCAAAGAAAAATTAAAAAAAACAAACAAACGGAGGGGGCAGGGTGGGATAGGGATTGGGGAGGGGTTGGGATGCGCCGGTGCTAGATCCGCGTTTGGTTCTTGAGAAGATTTTTAAAGAGTATACCGTATATTCTAACGGAAAACTTTTATCACCAATTGTGGCCCCACGCTACCTATGGGGGTTATGATTTGAACAAAATTGATTTTGTTTTTGTTTGTTGTTTTAATATCCCTCTAGAGAATTTTTCACTCATAAGAGGACATCACCACTTGCCAGTGGAGGGCCAAAAATTTAGACCTATTCTCGGAACTCAGGGCCATTGAAAAGTGTGAGATCTTTTTCGTGCCAGAATCTAAGAAATTAAAAGTATACTTCATGTATGTACTTTCACATAAGTATCATCTCTTCTGATCCAGAAGTTCTTGAGAAGAAAATTTTGAAAGAATTATTCTTATATATTCTATTAAAACTTTGCTCACCTACTGTAACCCACCCTTTCACAGACATGATCTGAATAAAAATGAATCTACACTTAATAATAAAGCTTTCACATAAGTTTCAACTTTTCTTTAACACAATGGTTCTCAAGAAGATTATTTAAAGATGTCACTAAATTTTCACTAATTCTTAACTTTCTTGAAAGAGGGCGTGACAATTAATTTGAACAAACTTGACTCCCTTTATCCATGTTTGCTTTCTGATAAGTTTGGTTGAAAATGAAATTGGCCAGTAGTTCCTGAGAAGAAGCTGAAAATGTGAAAAGTTTACAGACAGACGGACGACACAAGAAATGTGATCAGAAAAGCTCACTGGAGCTATCAGCTCAGGTGAGCTAAAAATGTGTCAACCCCTACACCAATATATCGGCACTTGTATGAGAATTAAGCAAAAGATGAATTCCAGCTAACAATTCTACTGAACAAATAACTTTCAATCTCATATCCATGTATATATAACGAGAATAAATAATAGACTGATTTTTCAGATATCTCAAGAATTACGGTATTTTGACATATCAAAGTCATGTAAACCAATGCTGGACACAATTTTCTGAGCAACACCATTTCTCCCTACAGTATTGCGAGTAATGCTAAATAAATACAACCATTACGCAGGAGGAAGAAAAAGGTTTTTCTCGGTACAAATTGTCGCCGGCGACAATATGTATCGATGGACGACGATATGTGCAGTCAGGGTAGGTACATTCTGTCGCCGACGACAATATGTACAAAACGACAATATGTACCGTCAAACCTCTCTTTTTGATGGCATGCTTAACGATACCTAAAACAACACAAGATTGTCCTTTGTAGTGTATACAATACAGTAGCGACAACGGACCGATGACAACGGACTGAATTTTCGTATCTTGTCATGACAACGGACAAAAATTGAAATAAATCAAAATTTTCAGTTTTAATTTGTTCTCAATTTTTCTGTAAGGCTTACAACATGTCTTGATACTGTCTGCACCAATTGGTGTGTATATTATATTCTATTTACAAAAAATATTACATCTCGGAAGGAAAATGAATGAAATCCACATGTGTTTTCAACAGGGTTTAATATCGCCAAACTCCTCTTTTATTACTTGTTTTTAACGGCTAAAATTCATACAGCACCAAATAGGGTGTCAGCCCTGTTTCCCATTGCAATTTCAGACATTGTTATAGATAATTTAACTTGAAAAATGAAAAACTTCTCACAACCTGTCTTCTCAAGTCATGACACCGGACGGATTTTATCATAACCTTACCTGTATGTTCATGACAACGAACCAGTTTTAGTGCTTAACTTTAAAGGCTTCTGACAACGGTACTGTCAAGGAACTTAACGTGTTCCTGGCCGTGTATCCACCACAGAACAAACGTTCAAGGTGGACCACAAAGGTAAAATTTCAGGTCACTTTAAACTGGCTCTGTCCATCAGTTTTGTTCAAATCATGGCCACAAAAGGGAGTCAAAGATTTACACATTATTTGAAATATAGGAAACGCATTCGCCGGGTGCCCCCCACCCCCCGGTCTGACTTTTTTGGGGGAATGTTCACCTCGAATGTCGTTTGACGACAATTAATTTATACGTGGTACCAGAGACATAAATAATGTTATTTATATCTCGGGTAGTACTCTCTTTACAAATTTAAACTGAACATTCATTCAGAAATGCAAAATATATATGTTCAAAACACTAAAATATCAAGGCCTTCGGAACGGGAATGCGTTTGATGCAATCAAAAGAGATAGTCTTCTGTTTTTATGTGAAATACACGTAACAACTGTATTTCTTTGGTGTTAATTTTAAAGTGACTTTGAATATTGTCAAAATAAAAAAAATGCAATACAAAAACATGTTTATAAATATTCTGATGTTTATCAAAATTCAATATTAATGATGTTTAAACACTAACAAGAGGCCCAAGGGCCTTAACGGTCACCTGAGTATAAAACAACAATCCATAGAGTATAAAATAAACTGATAAGAGCAGCTTTGTTGCCTAAAAGCAAGAGAAATAGGATGGTCAGGATCATCGAAATAATTAGTAAAGTATTCAGTAACACATCATAAATTAAGAAATAATTAGTCTAGTATTCAGTAACAACTCATAAATTAAGTTCTTATCTGTCCCCCATTTAGATTTTTTCCTATAAGTTTTATTTTCCATTATGGGCCCACCCTACCCCTACCCCCCGGAGTGATGATTTGAACAATCTTGAATCTATACTACTGTAAATCACTTTTTATTTGCAAGAACTTTATTTTCGCGTAATTACACGAGACAGTGTGCTCGCCAAAATTTCATTCTCACATATATTAGTATTCCTAAAAGATTATATAGAGCAATAACCACAATTCATGAATATTCTGTCTCGCTAATAAAGAGTCAATATCTATCTATCTAAAATTTAGTGATCTACAGTTCCTGAAGATGCTTCTGTATTAAAATGACTAATCATGGCTTTGTTGTTCTTGAGAAGATTTTTAAATGATCTTTCCTATATATTCCTAACTAAAACTTAAATCACCTGTTGTGTCCCCTTCCTACCCCAGAGGGTCATGAATTGAACAATTTGAATTAACATTACCCAAGGATGCTTCCATATAAATAAGACAAATCATGATATGCTATTCTTGAGAAGAAGATGGTTCAAGATTTTTCCTATGCATTCATATGTAAATCTTTGATCGTCCATTGTGGCCCCACCCTATCCCCAGAGTCATGATTTGAACAAACTTCTAAAAATCTTTATTACCTGAGGATGCTTCCATGTATATATAACCAATCACGGCTTTGCTGTTCTTCAGAAAAGAATTTTTTCAAGATTTTTCCTACCTATTGTTGGCCCCACCCTACCCCCGGGGATCATGATTTTAACAAATTTGAATTTACATTACCTGAAGATATTTCCATATGAGTTTCATCTTTGGTTCTGGAGAAGATTTGAGTGTAATAAAAAAGTATCAATAAAAAAAAGTAAAATTGTTTGTCTATGACACTGTCAGAAAAGACGGCATTTAAGGGGCTTCTCGAAGCCCGTAGGCAAGATGACCATGCAGTCCTTTTTTTAGCAACATTCTAAGATTTTTGGCTGATCATTTTTCAAAGCCACATAGTGCTAATATTTCTCGCATTTGATCTTCCGGCATAACTGCCATTTTGCCTGTTAATCTGAAAGTGAAATGAAAAGGAGTTGCTGATTGGTTCATTTAGTTAATAGGTTACACTAGTGGGTCATTTTTTTCCAGAACCACATGACGAAGTTCATTTTGACTTTTACGTTAAACCCTAAAGCGAAACAATTAATAAAACATAAGGGCTATTATTTGACTGAACCTCATATGGGTTTCATTTATTTCTCTGGAACAGGTTAGTGCAAAACAGGAGCGTTCTGGACCACATAGGCCTCTTGTTCTTTCTATAATTATTTTTTTATTTAAGGTTAAATTGAAGATTTCATTAAAATGCTTTCTATATAACTTTACAGATTCGGATATCCAGACCCCAGCTATCTTGATCGTCTGGAGAAAGAGCTCCAAGACCGTGGGATTACAGAGGACTAAAATATTTACATAATCTATCTGAAACAAATGAAAAATTCATCATAAACTGCATTGATATTACTCAAGGAATAATTCTTTTTGATATAAAAATTGCGTTTGTGGTCAACTATAACAGTTTTGTTATCTATCAGTAAGACTCTTAGTTATAAACTATTGTTAATTGTTTTGAATAAAGTATATTGAACATGTTGTACACCAATGTAATGTTTGAGTTAACAATCAGGTAAACTCTTGGTATCTGTGTTAGTCAATTTATACAATGAACACTTTCGAACCAAAAAGCAAATTTCAATCCAGTCTGTTTTAAGTATCATATACTGGGAATCGGAAACAGAAATGGAACACTAGGTCATTTCAAGACCTGGGTAAAATGGTAAAGTATCCTTTAAAGGAATGCAAAAAATTTAATTACATTCTTTATCAAGAAAAAGTATTTACATGTGCATGTAGTATGTAACACATGTATGTTAAAAACCTTATGTGATGCAGGTAAAGTTTCTACAAAGTAGGATGAAAAATACCATGGCACAGGCATTGTATGAGTCCAAGGTTGTACAGAACAATGTTATGCAAAATAACCAAAAATTATACAGTTCATGAAATCAAAACATCTGTTCAAATCATTATCTCAAGAGGCACAGTGTGACAATATGGATGGTGGTTTGAAGATTTACAAAGGAATTAAATCTATAAATGGTTAAAGAATTTTAAAATATCAACACCCAAGAACTAGTCTACAATTTATGAAAATAACATGCGGTATCATCAAGAGATACAGATATAGATTTGTTTATGTTCTTGGAGCAAGGATACTGCAAGACGATAAAATTTAACATACGATAATAGAATAATTATGAAAAAAAAATCTTTTTATAAATCCTTGGAATAACTAGGTCTACCAATTTACCAAAATAATATGCCAGTTTTATATTTAAAAAAAATCAAGAGGTAAAGAGTCTTACACTAGAGGATTCTTGCAAATCACATGTCGTTCTACTACATACAATGTTGGGATTAGTTTTGGGCCAGATGACACATACCGGTACATGAATTTATTAAAAAACCGTACAAGACTAATCAGACAATTGCTCTTAAGAAGCATGAAAATTCTGTCCTATGATATGTAACCTCTTATACCAATCTTGGTGGATAGTATTAGATGTGAATTACATCACTAGTTACACTCTTGTGCTGTTCATTTCAAACTGAGAAGCTTGTATTGTCAGTATCCTTCCTTATATTTACGATGTTTTTTTTTCTCCAAAAATAAATTCAGTTCTTTAAACTCCTTGGAGACATCTCCTCTTTGAAAACAGCAAAACTAAATAGAAAGTAATTTTAGTAACTGGTGAAATACAGAATACATTTTTAAAAAAATACTTTACTCAAAAGGTTTATAACAATATTTTGAGTTCATGCAATTACAATGTATTAATATGTAAATGCAAAGACAAATTTAACTGACTCACTGTTTCAGTTATTAAAAGAATGCTATGAATGCTTTAACATGTCCATCTCATGATTTCAAATATTGATAATGTTTTCTTGTTTTGCATAAATAAAACAAAATACAATGAACAAATATGCAAAACAACACAAAAATTCAGAAAGTATAACTGTTCAATATATTGCAATGTCAGAGTACCTCCCTGTCATACACCATGATCCTTTATCAAAAATACTCAGAAACATATTACTAACTGGAAAAAATGCAACAAACCTGCACATTAAATGCATTGGCAAATACAATAACCTAGCTCTTAAGAAATAGGAAATGTATACATTCAAAAATGTTCATTAAAATCCAGAAGATCACAACCAGTTTTGTTTTGTTTTTTTTTTTTTATAAATATCCAGTGCTTTAAATTTCATCAATTATGATAAATATTACTCATATAGTCATGTTTAAACCAAGGATACCCAAATGAATAATCCAAAGACTTGTTGAGTGTCAGTTCTTCTGGAAGCGTGAAAATTTCTTTTTTCAACACATGTACTTGTTTTCTATCAGCTCAAAAGAAGTAAGTGAAGAAATTCCTGCTTTCTTTTTGGATGACCAAATCTGAAATATAATTTGAACCTGAATCATATGACCACATTGAAATATCAACATTTCAAAAATATCTGATAAACTAACTTTCTTTTAAATATTTTAATATCAATTTAAAAACACACCTACCAGATGGGTGTACAATTATTTTCCATATGAGATCTTACTACTAACAAACATTACATGTTTTAGTCCACTAAATGTCTTTCTGAAGAACCAAACAAATCCAGACTTGTACTGGAAAACTTTGAGTCAATTCAGTAATTCAATAAATACATGAACTATTCTGGTAAAGATCTTTAAAATTTTTTTAGAAAATACTGTGAACATATTATATTTGACAGTTTATTCTATTTAGTGCATTGGTGGAAAGCGCTCTCTGCTAAATCAAGTACACCACTGCATGCTATGTTTGTATATATTTATTATCTAGCACATTCAGAAAGTGCTAGGTAAATCAAATCTTGGCTAACTTGTTGTAACGTCAACTTTCTCTAAATATTGTACAATACATTTACAGTAAAACAAGTTTTAAAATATACATGTACTTTTGTAATTAATCAATTCAACATCTTTAACAGAACTGAACAAAACTTACATATTTTAATACATGTAAATCCATTAGATATCTTTTAGACAGTCTGGTAATGGACTCTTAGGATGTTTGCTTTCAAAGTGTTGTTTATATGTCTTAGGGTCTGGCATCTGGGACTGGAAAAGCAAAAAAGAAACATTTCTCTCTTCAATGGAAATTCTTGTCTTAAATTAAAAAAATATAAGGTTTACATCTTACATGACCATCAGATAAAGCCTTTTCTCTTAAAATAAGAGGCACAAATATGCATGTTTAGACTTTGTAACAGATTACAGCATACTAGAAAATACTAGTCTACATTCTACCTTCATCCTTATTATTTATTTGAAGTGAAAATTGACATATTAAAAAGATATACATAAATTGCAAAATTGTGCAAAAATCCTGCATACATATATTTTCATATCAAAAACATTAATTGATTGATTATTTGTCTGGCACATTTCGCCAAGTTGGTACGCAGTACAGTTAAGGTGCGCAATGGAAATATCATCGAATTTTTGTGATTAAAAATGTATTCATAATCAGGATGGCGACTATTTTTAGTACATTATATGTATCGGACAAATGCAGTTATGGTTAATAACTACATATTGAGGACGATTAGATTTTATATTTAGACTTGTCACGTGATGCCACAGTCATGTGATTTTAGCACATTTAATTGCAGTATTGAGGTCATCTATAAATTTCACTAGTGCAAGGGCATAACCAAGTTAAAATTCTAAGTTTAGTGTATAAATATTTTCAAAACACATTGTAGTTTCTGAAAAGTGCTGCGATCCTATATAGATTCTGCTATTTCATTGTTAAAATCGTATTTGTATGACCGCATATGCATGCTGTATTTTTTGCTGGTTAACGGCATTAAATATAGATATAATTAAATTATTTTGAGGATTTCATCAGGATCGCAGCACTTTTCAGATACCTTAATACTTTTAGAGTTGATTTTTAAAAGCTTACTATGATCCATTAAGTGTATGCCCTTGCACTAGATTGATTTATCAAGACCCTTACATTACCCTCTGATGTACTTTCATACAAATATACGGCAGTATCAATTAAATAGGAAATGTACGGAAAATATATTAATAAAATCGTAAAGAAGACACTGAATCCAAGTTAATGGCATATGAAATATCTGTAAATAATATTTTATTTAATTGTAGAATACATTTTTCGGTGACAAAATATTACTTGATCCGCCTCTCACTGCATACAAACTGCGTCAAATTTTACGAAATGACGTCACGTCGACAAGTGCATTGCGCCAGTGACTTGTTTATACCTTGTTATGTGGGATTTAACTAACGACAAACAGCATGTTGTAGTAAGTTTTGATGTAGTTTGATGGTCTCCTACAGTTTAAAATAGCAAATCATTTCATTTTGTGGTATTTTTAAGAATTGTTGGTTTTGAATGATGTCATAGTTAATTTTTCCCATACAAATTAGGCTTCGCCCCCTTTTTGTAGCCCTAACTGTGCTGCATAGTATTTCAGCCATTTTATGGCGAAAACATAAAATTCCCGCTTATACAACAATAACAACTTTCGACACTATTTAGAATTTAATACCACTGAACATGATACAATGTATAAACAAGCTGTAGGTATGTTCAAGTAATTTCAGAGGGCACTATATGCTACGTTTGTTTTTGTTTTTTTCCAGAGCCTACCATTTAAGGGCACACTAAAATTTAGACAAGTTCTCTACAATTTGAGGTACCTCATCAGTCTAATACATAACTGTACTGTTACAGTTGTATACGCACCATGCACACTGTGCATTTGTATGTGAGTGCAGCCTGTGCTGCTTTCTTTTGATCATGGCCCTGTGCTTTCTTCATTTTGGCAGCTTTTTCAGCATTTTTCTGTTGTGACTGAATCTTTTGTTGTCCTCTTGCCATTATAGTATTTTACAACCTGAAATAACAAATATTTTGAGTTTTATTTTTTAATTCAAATCATTAGCTCTTGAATATTAATATACTGAAAGGATAAAGTAGCTCTAAATCCTTATTAATACTATAAGTTTTTATCATCAAAGTACCAATTTAATTTAATCATCAAAGTAAACATTGAAGTATAAATCATGTGACCGAATATTTGAATGCTAAATTTCCATTCGAATATTCGCCATTAACTTATTCATTTGCGAATATTCGAACATTCGTTTCAGTTCTAACAAAGACCTTAGTCTTTTATAGGAAATTCAGTGTGTATGCCTAAAGTGTATTTGCTGTACTTCAGTAGGCTTACACTGTATGTACAGTGTATTTTGGACAGCCCAACAAAGAGCAATATCAACATCCCTGTTTAATACTAGAACCCCAAATAGTGTAGATTTTGGAAGTGTACTTCAAGCCTGTAAACATGGTAAAGGCTTGTAAAAAAAAACATGAAAAGAACATATCCAGATGTAGCTGCAGACCTGTAGCTCTCTGGTTGAGAAAATTTGACAAACCAGAGAGCTAGTGCCTACAAATCCAAACTCTGTAAAAACCTTCGATTTACGT